CTGCTGCAGTATCCAGAGAGTAGCAGGACCAGCTAACACAGGGCCAGTGAAGGGCAGGGCTGGCTCAGCACAGCATGGGCCATGAACATCATCACAGACCCCAGCTGCATTGGGACCATGGACCCAGACGTGGCCCTGGGCAGCAGCTCAGGCCTGGATGTCACCATGGCCCATAAATAAATCTTTTATAAAGAGATATGGATACTTATATATGGAAAATATAGACATATATACTTATATATTCTTAAGAGGCTAATGCAAAACACATATTTCCTTCCTCTGTCAGCCAAGAGGGCCTAGAAACAATGAGACCCAACTAGCACTCCGTGCCAAGAGATCAACTTCTGATTACATTCTTAACTAAAGATACCATGTCCCTAGGGAGACAGCTATCTGTAGAACTGGGGGTGATGCATAATAGATAAGATGCGCCCGGGATGGCTTACACTTATAGGAAGTGCTATAGTTAACCAAAATGAGCAATGAAGCCCCCAAACAAAAACAGAATTCTCACGGTGAAGAAGGAATGTCTGAATGGCACGGAACCCACGTGAGTGTGCTCTCAGTGGTGAAAGCTGGCAAAAATCATGGAACAAAATGTGGTAGCTCCAGGTCACAGGTCAAAGGTCACGGAAAATGTTCACAGTTCTAAAACGGGGAGAAAAACAAACGGGAGAGTGTGCAGAGGAATTTCAGATGACCTAGACAGAAGCTCCGTCGTGGATCGGGTGGAGCATTATTCTGTGCACCTCAAGTCTGAGCCTCACGTGTGGCTGTCACCTAGGAGCCCAGTGTGGAAAATGGGGGGGGCGGGGTAACATTACAGTGGGGAGACAAGACAAAAGCTGTCTCAACCAGACAGCCCAGGTCATGATGACACGTGCCTTTGTACAATGTGGTTCACGGGGCAGATGACCTCCATGACCTCCCCCAGGAGAACCAGGAAAGCAAACTCAACAAGCGGGGGGAGGGGGGGGGATTATTCAAAATTGTCAAGACAGTCAGGCTCATCAAAACCAAAAAACTCTGGGAACGGACGGTCAAAAGGCACTTAACAAGGTGAGGTGGTTATGCAGAGTGTGGGGTCCTGGGTGGGCTGCAGCAGCGAGTATACTAGGTACAAACTGAAAAAGTACGAGTAAAGAGTGGGATTTAATTGGTTTTTAAAAATTAGTTTGGGTCTGTTAATTAGAGCAAATAGATTTTGCCAGTGTAAGGTGTTAGCACTAGAGGCTTAGCACTAGGGGCTACTGGGTGTGAGAACATGGTAACTCTCTGTTCACAGATTTTCTTTTCTGGTAAATGCAAAACTACTTTGAGGAAGTTAATTTCTTTAAAACAGCAGTGTTGTGGTATATTAGTTATGTGTTACATTCTTTTATGCTGTGAAATATTTGTTTAATGGTGCAAAGATGTGTTGCATTCTTTTATGTTGAATTTACTTAACTCTGTAAAGCTGTGTTACTTTGCCTGCCTAAAACACCTGATTTGTCTAATACAGAGCTGAATGGCCAATAGCTATACAAGAGAACGTATGGGTGGGGCTGGCATGCAGAGAGAATAAATAAGGGGAGAGAGAGAAAGAGGATCGAGAAAAGGGGAAGGAGAGGAGGATGCCAGGGACCAGCCACACAGCTACACAGCCACACAGCTACACAGCCACACAGCCACACAGCCACACAGCCAACCACAAAGTAAGAAGGAAAGATAGGTATATATAGAGAAAAGTAAAAGCTCAGAGGCAAAAGGTAGATAATTTAAGTTATGAGAAGCCGGCTAGAAACAAGCCAAGCTAAGGCCAGGCATTCATAAGCAAGAATAAGTCTCCATGCATTTATTTAGTGTCAGACCCAAATATTATATAGGCCTCAGCTCAACTCCTATTGCCTTTTAGATGTCGGCTAGTTACCTCCGGATGGCCTGGCCACAGTAGAGAATGGCTTCTAGTTTGTGTAACAATAGACCTAGGCCCCACGCCCATCATGAGGTCTAGTGGGACATGCCTGGGAACTAGTGGGATGTGTCTGAAGATTGGTGAGACGTGCCATTATGGAAAGTCTGAGAACTTGTGTGTGTGCATTCTAGGACCATCGCTAGAGTTAAAGGAAGTGTTTCCTAGTCAGCCCTATATACATGATAACAGATGCCTTCTGTCAGTACCCCCACTTTTGGAAAGCTATTTAAGAGGATGCTTGAATAAATGGTGGTCTCCAGTATGAACTGAGAGCCCTCCTGAAATGACATGATGTCTCTGTCTCCTTCTTAACATTGCTGGGCAACTAGGACTTCCCTGATCCACACTCCCCCACTCAGGGTCAGACCTGGGGCTGTTTGGCTGGTTCCAAACACAGCCCCAAAGACATCAGTCCAGAATAGATGGCCCCTGCAGCATAGGACTGATATAGGCCAGACCCTGGCAATTTGGGAGCTGGGTGGCAGGCCCCAAAGAGTAAAGAGGAAAAGAGTAAAAAAACAAAACAAAACAAAATACCCTACATAGCAGTGCATACCTATAATGTCAGTTGGAGGTAAGAAGATACAAAGTTCAAGAGTGCAACCCTGATCCCCTTTGAGCTTGGTCCAGGGTGAGCAGTACACACTGGCCTCACTTTCAGAAAGTGTCAGGGGTGGGAACATGATCCAGTGACAACCCCAAATGAGGTAGCCAGATGGCTCGTGGAGAATGACTGGATTATGGAGGACTAGATGGCAATGTCCTTATGCCATGCTATCCCAAACTGATCTTTGATAACTTCCAATCCCTTCCCTACCCACCCCCCACCACTCTTGACTCTCAAGTGCACATGTCCTGTGTTTTAAAACTCACTGAATCTACTTAGTGCTGCCTGTATATGGGTGTAGGAACTTCTACTGGACCATGAGAAGCCTTTCATGTTTTGCATCCCTGAAGAAAACTAACTCACCCGGCAAGTCATCAATTGCTAATAGCTCTCCAGCTATGGGGTGGGACCTATCCTGACTCACTTTGTCACTTGATACTCCTTCACAACTAAGTTCTCCTAGTACCTCTCCCCAGCTCCCCTCAGAAACACATGACCCCACTCTGTACTCTCCTTCGAACTTGGAGCCTTCCTAATTGCATATCTTTCAAAACATTACCCTAGAAGATCTAGTAACTGGTATGTTTTAAGGCAAGCTTAAGCCTCTGCAGGCATTTCTTATTGGGGAGTAGAGCTGAGTCTTCATTTCAGATGGGTCTTAACATTTCAGATGGGTCTTAACAAGCACTCTGGAAAGAAAGTCTTTGTTCCTATTGAATTGAATGGGGCAGGAGAGGGTGTGGGGGTGTGCAAGTCTAGTCTACAAATACACAACTTCCTAAAGTACATTATTGTACATGTCCTTCCCACATCCATTCTTCTGGAAACAGAAAATCAACAATCACTTCTACAAGACCTGGACTCCTACATATATGGACTCTTGAGTGCTACCCTAATTTCTGGGAAGATTTTGGAGAGCACTGAATCTGAAGTCAAGATGGACTCAGTTCTCGGCTCACTTGCTGTTGTACTAGATATATCCTCCAATGAATCCTTTGAGTCAGGGTTTGCTCATGTGTGTTAGAACTCTGAACATCGCTGCTGTGTGTCTCACTGTACCCCTGAGGCTTTGTCAACCGTGAAGAGCTGTAAGTGGGTACAATCTTGGACATCTCCAATCTTCACTAAATTTCCTTTCTGCTCTTTCTGCTCACTTTCATCTGATGGCTCAGCTGGTAAAGGCGCCTACTACCAAAGTCCGAGGGTATGAATTTGACGGCCAGGAACCAAAAGGTAGAAGGGAAGATGAGAGTTCCACAAGCCCTCTGCGTCTACAGCCAGCCATTCATGCGTCACCTCCACTGACACCAACAATAAAAATAACTAAATAGCAGGGTGTGGTGGCACACACCTTTCATATCAGCACTCTAGAGGCAGAGGCAGGCGGGTCTCTGTGAGTTCGAGGCCAGCCTGGTCTACAGATCGAGTTCCAGGACAGCCAGGGCTACACAGAGATACCCTGTCTCAAAACAGTAAAATTAAATAGATAATGCAATAATGATGAATGCAAATCTCAACACCGGCAAGAATGAAGGATATGACTAACATTCTCAGAAGAGTGAAGACCCAGGGAAAGATTTAACAGCCATTCTTCACTCGGTCCCTGTCAGGACAAGCATCCTGGATTACTTCACACAGCTCATCTGAGAACCAGACAGACCTTTATGGAGGACTGTGGGTTGGATTCAAATTGACAGCAGCCATGTTCAAGTAGCAAAGTGACATGAGATGACTAAAGGAGAATGCAAATGAGAGATTTGAAGAACTATCAATCAATCTACTGGACGTGTTGAGAAACAATTGCGTTTTCTAAAGTAAGTCCGCCAACATTGCCCAATTCAAGTGCTGAGAAGGTTTACTCGATGTCACACCTATGTATGTAGGGTGTGTGTGTGTGTGTGTGTGTGTGTGTGTTCTATGTCATACATGCATTTATCTCCAGTATATGCCATCATTTCCTCGGTGAAGTCAACAGGGTCAGACTGAGATTCTGTCATCAATTATTGTTGGAATGTGGCTGAAAAGGGAAAGAATTTGGAATCAGTTACCTTGGGCCCGGGCTGGTTCTCCTGGTTAGAAGCTACTCCCTTGTCCCCACTACATTCTGATCCACTTACCTGGCGGTTTTCCAAGGACACATCTCACTGTGTGAAGAGAGGGGTTCAAATGGTCCGAACACAGTGACAGCGGAGCGAGCCTCGCACATTCCCAGCTGGAAGTCACTAAGGTGAATTGAAGGGGCCATGGCCTGGAGTTCTTTCTTTCGTGCGCCAGCCCGGTCTGGCCCGGGGCTAGACACCCCAGTTTCTGCTGCGTTCCCGGTGGCCTGTGGTCTCCGTCCTCCCGCGCTTCTCTCGCGCCTTTGCCTCTGGGCAGGGAGCCTGGATAGGCGGGTCTCGGGAGGCTCGGGCTGGGGACCTACCGCCCAGTGCTGGGGCGTTCCCGCTGGAGAGAAAGCGAGGAGTGAGAGTCGGGTCGCATCTCCATGGCAACCCGGTGGCCAAAGGCCCAGGGCGGGCACAGCGGGGACCCAGGAGGGCTCAGATTCTCCAGGCAGCAGAGCAGGTAACCAGTGGGCTCTGTGGACACCGACCCGGGACCAGGACCCTCCCCTCGGGTGGCGGCTGGCGCAGGGATGGCAGGGACCACGTGCTGGGCAAACTCAGGAGACAAGCTCTCATCAGAGCCAGGGCCCGTGCCTCAGTTCCCCTCCTTTATTTGTCTGTACTTTTTTTTTTTAATCTAGTTTTGCCGTCTATCATCACCCATGTCTGCCCCACTGTGGCAATTCCTGGGGTGTGAAAACATGCGATCGGAGATTCTTTCTCCCTCCTTCCCCTTCTTCCTTCTCCCTTTCCCTCCTCCTCTTTCTTCTTCCCTTTTCCTTCTCCTCTTTCCTCCTTCTCTCTTTTCTCCTCCTCCTTTTCCTCTTCCTCCCTTTTCTCTCCCTCCTTCTCCTTCCTTGGGTATTTAATTGGTTCAAACAGTTCTTAGGAGGGTTTAAATTCATCGTAACACTTTGTTCATTTTACATTACAGGTTAGTCCACAGCTGGGACAATCGTGTGTGTGTGTGTGTGTGTGTGTGTGTGTGTGTGTCTGTGTGTGTGTGTCTGTGTATCTGTGTGTCTGTGTGTGTGTCTGTGTGTGTGTGTCTGTGTGTCTGTGTATCTGTGTGTCTGTGTGTGTGTCTGTGTGTGTGTGTCTGTGTGTCTGTGTATCTGTGTGTGTGTCTGTGTGTCTGTGTATCTGTGTGTCTGTGTGTGTGTGTCTGTGTATCTGTGTGTCTGTGTGTGTCTGTGTGTGTGTGTGTCTGTGTGTGTGTGTGTCTGTGTCTGTGTGTGTGTCTGTGTGTGTCTGTGTATCTGTGTGTCTGTGTGTGTCTGTGTGTGTGTCTGTGTGTCTGTGTGTGTCTGTGTCTGTGCGTCTGTGTGTGTGTCTGTGTGTGTCTGTGTGTGTGTCTGTGTCTGTGTATCTATGTGTCTGTGTCTGTGTGTCTGTGTGTCTGTGTGCGTGTCTGTGTGTGTCTGTGTATCTGTGTGTCTGTGTGTGTGTCCCTGTGTGTGTCTGTGTGTGTGTATCTGTGTGTGTGTCTGTGTGTGTGTGTATCTGTGCGTGTCTGTGTGTGTCTGTGTATCTGTGTGTCTGCGTGTGTGTCTGTGTGTCTGTGTGTGTGTGTCTGTGTGTGTGTCTGTGTGTGTAGGCATATAGGTGCAGGTGCTCTCACAGGGCAGAAGACCTGACCATCACTGGGGTCTTCTATGCATTCTAACTGCTGGACCATCTCTCCAGCCCTGTTCTTAGATTTTCTGTCCTAAATTTCCTGTTTCATTCGCTCTTTTAAAAGGTCAAGAAAAGCCATGAAAGAATACATACACTCAAAGCGCAGGAACTCCATTAAGGTGGGATCTTGAGGGCTTCCAGACAGCTCTCCTTTAGGCAGGAATTATGAACTGAGCACTCCACAAGGCAACTGACACCGAGCTGCCACGGAGTTAATGATGAATGCTTGCTGGTTTCAGTCACTACCACATATTTCAACCAAGGGCTGAGCCATATTTCTATCTTTGCGGGAACTTCCAGCCGATGAAGCCCCACACACTTCTGTGCTTGTAGAAGCCAGAGCCTCCACACTCAGAAAAGCCATACTAAATAATGACTTAACAACAGCAAGAAAAATCATCTTATATTAACATATTAAGCATTTTACAAATCCAAATGATTTCCTCTCACAGATTAAAACTCAAGAAGAGCAAGCCAGATGTAGACCTTTCTTGGCATGGAGAACCAAGCCCATTCTACAGCAGGGTAAGTGGTACAGAAACTTCTATTTATTGAGTTGATCTTTATGCCCAAAACTGCTTGATGGGGCACGAGACTTGAAATGAATTGTTACAAGAAGGATGTGCTGGTTGCTTTTGGTAAGCGGGCTGGGGGAAATTTCAAACAACTTCTGAAGAATGTATTTGGTGAACCTCCCTGATTTGGAGAGCCTGTCTCTACCTGGAAAACGGCTCGTTCGGTGACACTGTTGGCATCACAGGTACAGACCCAGGCTGGCCTCTTACATGTCCACAGCACAACACTTCCTGGCCAGCTGGCTCCTGTCTTGCTGTAGTGAGTGTTTCTCTGCTCCTGTTTTTAAGACCATGACTTCTCAAGCCAGGCGGTGGTGGCGCACGCCTTTAATCCCAGCACTCGGGAGGCAGAGGCAGGCGGATCTCTGTGAGTTCGAGGCTGGGCTGGATCGACAGCCTCCGAAACAATACAGAGAAACCTTGTCTCATAAAAACCAAAAAAAAAAAAAAAAGACCATGACTTCTCATCATTGAAACACAGCCTCACAATACACGTTTCCACAGAACAGCAAGAATGGGGTATTTCAGGTAAGGAATGGAGTTCAGAAACCATTCACCGTGGTAGAAAATGGACCAAATTCCTTTCACCACTATCTGTCCCGCCTCTTACTGGCATCAGCGCCACAGATTTCTCCAGCCATCTGGCCAGTGGCTGGACTCAAGTTGGGGACAGCAGTGGTACTTCAGAGCCCAGTCTTGATTGTGACTGCTTTTGACGCTGGCCGCAACTGTAGGTGTCACACTTCTAGTTATCTGTTCAGGCTGTCACTCTGACACCAGGTAAAGGAAAACAAAGACGTGTAAACAGTGATAACTACATTCTTAGCCCTGCCACCTTACTTATTCTCAACAAGAAACCAGGATATATTACAGTATAGCTGAAGGCCCTGAAACACACACACACACACACACACACACACACACACCACACACACACACAGTGCAGAGCTTTAATTAACATGAAAGCTCATCTCTATAGCAGACTAAGTGGTTTCACCTCTAAACACAAAGTGATTGCTTCTGCTCCAGTCATCGTGACTGCCTTCCATGAAGGCAATGCTCTTAATGTAAGGGGGAAGGGATGGAGGGAGGGAGGAAGGAAGGAAGGAAGGAAGGAAGGAAGGAAGGAAGGAAGGAAGGAAAGAAGGAAGGGCAGGAAAGACTTTCCTTCTAGGAGAAGGCCTAGAGATGTCAGGCCTCAACTGTGTTCACTAACACTGGCCAGAGCTCAGTCTCAGCTAGCTGTAAGACAGGCTCAGAAATGTGGTCTCCACCTGGGCAGTGTATGTCCACCTACAGTTTAGAAACCCCACATGTAGCTGGTGCTGGAGTTAGGATCACTGGGCTTATAACCACTTGCATGCCTTGTGAAGCTGTAAACAGTTGGTAGGAACCATCCTCAGATTTCTAATCTGGATCTTATTTTGCAGACTAGTGATCTGTGGATTCACTCTGACAATGCTAGTGGTGAGCTCACACTCTCAGTTAACTATGCAATGGTGAGAGCAGGCCATCACCACACCACAGAACACAGAGTAGCTAATCTGGTGATGCTCGCCAGGTGGACATAGTCGTTGCATTTTCAACCTGTGGTATTTTCAGTATATAATGACCCTGTCTGGCATAGCCAACACCACTGTAAGTTGAGAGGCATCTAAAAGGATTAAGAATGATCATTGCTGTATCCCCCAGCAAACTCTGAGCCTCAGAGAGATGGAGAGCAGGGAGTAAGGATTTACCCCCAGGATAGAACACTGGCCAGCAAAGGAGGCAGGGTTTGAATGGATATACATCTGACTCCCAACCCTGAATTCTTTCTACACTGGAAATGGATTGTATTGAGGTATGAGGGGCAGCCTGCCTAGTGTCCACATCATCGACAGATCACAATGAGCATGTGTGGGGGCCCTAGTGTGACTGTGACACTAGAGTACAGTAAGACAGACCAAAGCCTCAAACAGAGGGTAGCAGATGGTCTCAACCTGCAAATCTGAAAGCCTGGCTGGGTCTCGGTATTCATTCTTTGAGATCAAAGTAAGCTGTGCTGAGTGTTGATCCCTGAAACGCAGAGGTTACTTAAAAACAGATCTGGTCCTTAAAAGAACTTAGACTTTACTGGAGAGAGTTAGACTTGTTTGGGTACAGATAGTTACAGGGCAGACGTTAATGAGCACACCACAGTTGTCCTGAAGGACTGTCACTCATCATGTGGTCAGACACTGTGTACCATGGTCTCCAGAGCACAGAGGTCACCGAATCTCATGCTGTTAAGGAGCCAGTGAATGTGGGTCGTTCTCCAGGGACTTGTTAGCAAATTCATGAACACGTTCCTCTCGTGTTTCCTGAAGCAGCCTGCTTTCAACAAGTATTTAGTACCTACTGTGAGCTTGTGTAGCTCTAAAACTGTATAACTATGCACATATGTATCAAACACTGATAAGAAGAGGAAAGTGTGTGGGCAGTACAAAAAATCCATTTGGTTCTGTGCGATACCAAAGCCAAACCAAAACAAAGTCTAGTTGTGTTGGTGCCCACCCAGTTTTCTACTCCAAAAGGCAGCCACTTTCAGTTCTTTGGCAGGGGCTCTCTCCCAAGGCTTTGGTGTCTAACTCAGTATCTTAGATAATGTGCTTTATTTGATTCTTTTTTTAGTGTTAGGCATTGTCTATGGGCTTTTACGCTGGACATCTTTCTCTGTCTCTCTCTGTTTCTCTGTCTCTGTCTCTCTCTCTTTCTGTCTGTCTGACTCTCTCTCTCTCTCTTTCTGTCTGTCTGACTCTCTCTGTGTGTCTCTGTCTCTCTCTCTCTTTCACACACACACACACTTTTCACTCCTCTATCCCCCAATAAGCCATGATTTTGGTAGCATCAATAGCCTCCATATGTCTTCATAATAGTCTTCTTATGACTTTACAAGTCACATACATCTTGGGGTCTGACTGGGATCATTTTTCCTTCCTGCTTGTCGGAGCTTGCTTCAACCAGTCAGCTGGATTACCTGAGTAGGGGTGTGAGGACTGAACAAAGGCAGATAAAAGAAACAGAGACAGAAACACAGGATAGATTGGAGAGGATCGCCCGCCCCATGCCTTTCAGCACACGGGACAGCCCTGAGTTTAAGTTAGACCCTGCTTATGTACAGACTGGAGGCAAAGCAGAACAAAGAGCAGTACAGTCAATCAACCAGCTCCCGGCACTGTCCTTGAATCGAGGAGCAGCCGGGCTCACTGTCTATCGTGTGAGTCCTGCTAGCAGAAAAAAAGCTTCATTCCCTATCTCTGTGTGCGTTTGGCTGGCACCGGAAGCTCGTCAGTTAGATAAGATGCTCTTTCCCATGGGCTTCATCAGAACTTTCTCATGGCTCTCAGGGAGACTGGAGCAAGAAAGCTTGGACTCTGTCTTATGTCAGAACAGACTCCAAGTGGAAACTGAGTCACCTGTGGGCTCCCGCACCTGCTCAGTTTTGACCCCCTGGCGTTAGCAATCCTGACACCACATCTTCCTTCTCCACAGTTTCCTTCTTTAAAAGGAAGTAGGAGTGGGATTTCATCTGTAGAATAAAAACGTAAGGTGTGTTTTAAAGCAAACCTTTTAAAAACTATCTTCAAAAAACAAGTCTCTCTCTTTGGCCCTGCCCATCTTCTCTGCCCTGTGGGCTGCTTTCCTTGGACCCAAAGTTCACTTCTTATTCAATCCAGGAGCCACCCACCCACAGTGTGGTGCCATCAGCACTTAGTGGGCCTTCCTGCCAGAAGGCCGCTCACAGACATGCGCAGAAGCTTGTCTCCCAGGTGAGTCTAGAGCCTGTCAAGTTCAAAATCACTATTAGCTACCACAAGTTGCTACTTGACTCCCACAATTTTTGCCTTGTGTAGGCTTAACTGTACAGGTTAAAAATATGTGTCTGCTTCATTTGTAGTGGGTCTTGAGAAAGAAGCCAATTTTGTGGGTTCATCCGTCTTTACCCAGAGCCTTACTGTTGTCTGTTGAGTCTCTTACATTCTCTGCGTTGTTTGACTAGCTCCTGAGCAAAGGGTCTCTTTCACAGACTCAAAGGGGTTCTAAAAATCAGGGTGCCGCTGCACACGCCAGTGAACTCTGCTCACCTTCCGGAGAACCCAGAAAGACCGAGCCTTAAAGAGCATCTTCCCACCTGAATTCCAAAAGTTCTTCCTGACACTGCTTCCTCTGTGTGTGTCTTCTTAAGGGGTCCTTCCCCGGGAGACACAGAGTCACAGCGTCGACTGCTCGTTTCCTGATGGGTTTTATGCATACTGTATACTTTATTTATTCAGACTCACCTGGGAGACAAGCCCCTGCGCATGTCTGTGAGCGGCCTTCTGGCGGGAAGGCCCACTGAGTGCTGATGGCACCACACCGTGGGTGAGTGGCTCCTGGATTGAATAAGAAGTGAACTTTGGGTCCAAGGAAAGCAGCCCACGGGACAGAGAAGATGGGCAGGTCCAAAGACAGAGACTTTCGTGTTTTTTTTTTAAGATAGTTTTTAAAAGAAACTTTGATTTTTCTGATGCAAGCCCCTACGGCAGGACTGTAATGAGCAGTAGCAGTGTGTTCTTTCTGTTCATGGAAACTTCATTTTGACTGACTTCGGTGACTTCCGGTGACTTTTGGCTGGCCCGGACCACACCTTCCCGTTCTCCTCACATTGCTCTGTACCTTCCCGCATCCTGATCCTGGCCAGAATAGGCACACTTAACCAGTTCCCCTAAATTCTTCTGTCCTGATGAAGAAATAAGGAGACAGAGTTTGGGGGTGGGGTGTGCTGGTGTGTCATGGAGGCGGACTCTGCAGTGTTAGCTTGGGGCTCGCTAGGGACAGGATTAGTTACTGTGAAAGAGAGAAAACTCAGGAAGGAGGGAGGAAAACCAGGGAGATTCCTGAGTTACTAACAATGCTAGAGAAAGATTAAGAAGCCTGCCCTTTTTATAG